GCCATCTAGTGTCAGGAACGAGAGCGAGGGGAGCATTGAGAAAATGACATCACAAATCACTCAACTGACAGCGCCTAGTCGAAACTCGAACGCTCGGTACCTTCCGCGTGTTTACTTGAACATTCTGGATATTTCTTTGCTAATTTAAATATATAGGCGCTACAAGATGCGATGGAAGCAGTGTTGATTTAGGCGAAACAAGCGAAGCTTCGGAGCGAAATTAAGTGAATTAGTGTGTTTAATTATTAGTGTTTTAAGATTTAATTTGTTTAAAGTAAATTAAAGTGTTAATTTAGGTAATTTTATCGGCAATTTTTATTGTCACGAACCTCAAGCTCGTAACAATATTAGGGTTTGCGTGGGCAAAGACGGGGCCCGCGTAGGAGCGCTCGAGCCCAGCGCGCGACCTTATATCGGTTTCTTTCCCACCGAAGTCGGGCGCTCTTCTCATTGGTTGCACGAATCACGCAACATTCTAGAATCTCTTCTTTCCCCTCTCACCCCACCACCCCGGTGTGTACGGAGGGACGATAGGTTAAGGAAAGGACAACGCTTGGCAAGCATACCCTCGAATAAATTAAAATACGAATGGTTTTTCCGCGCAACCAATGAGTATTAATATAGGCTGTATTAATGCCTGTACTAGAAAGTGCAAGGAAAGATTAATGGAAACGATAAGACATGCAATTTTTAAAAGTTTTTAGCGTTTGGGCGACCACTCATGACAAGCTGATTTTGTTTGTAGATTTGTAGATACAGTTTCACGAAAACAAATGACAGCATCAGTCATTGAACAGTCACGGCAACACTAGTCCTTTCAATATTTATTTGATAGTAACGACAGAAAAAAGGGTCTGCAAAAAATGTTTCTTGATACTCTGTCTATTAGTGATATGTGGCTACAAACTGTTTACAAGAAAATGAATAAAGGCACTGGGGTTTTATAGCAGGAGACTTAGGGGCAAATGAAGTTTAAGAATCTGCTAGAAATCACATTTCGTTAATTTCTATAGTGGATTCACATTATGTGAGAAAACGAACTTCCAAATTGTGCTTTGAATAAACTTTAACATACCCTGCATTGTACCGGCTTTAAGTTGATTGGATGAAAGAGAATCTTCCGTTGGAACAAGCGGAAAATTCTAGGCATTTTGGTATTTTTTATAACGAATATAATATTGAATTCCATAAGCCATAGAAAGACCTTTGTATTCTTTGCGACAGATATAAGAGGATCTGAAAAAGAAAAAGATGACATGAAGCCTTTGCATATTGCGAACAAAACAGTTGTAAGAGAGGAGGTGAAAGAGACTTGTAAGTTTCAGTGTAACGTTATGGTTACAGCCACTTGTGACTTACGTAAAGTATTGACTACACCCCAATCAGAAGGTTAGCTATTTTACTACAAAAGGAAGTTTGCTGTATACAATTTTACTATGTATGATATAGGAAAGGCCAAAGGATAGTTCATACGTTTAGAATGCGATAATAGGCAAGAAAGGATCCTCAGAAATTAGTAGCGCTGTGTTTCTTTTTATTAAACAGAAATATGAAGAAGGGTTTCGTATATATTTCTTTTCTGATTGCTGCGGTGGACAAAACCGCAATCGTTATGCATGTAAAATATTTGGCATAACGATTACACATAACTATTTAGAAGTAGGACAATCGCAAGGGGATGCTATGCACGCGTTAATAGAGCGTCGGAAGAAAAATCTGATTATTTTTGTACCAGAGCAATGGATCGCTGATCAGATGTGCTAAAACTACGGGGACACCTTATGATGTTACTGAATGAGATCAAAACCTAACTTTTGATTTTTGATTTCTAAAGAAAAAACTAAACTACGACTGGAATAGCACGGAAACTAAGATGTTGTGGAATAAAATGCAACATATTAAAATAGAAAACGAGAACCCAGACTTAATATACTTTCAATATGACTATCTCAGTGATGAGTACTTATCTATCAACCTTATTGTGAAACCTACTACACGCATTACACGAACAAACAGAGCTCTTGTGCTCTCCATTAAGTGAGAACAACCAAACGACGGAGAAAGTATTCCTTTACTGTATAATAAAGTGCTCCCAATATCAACAGCAAAGTATAAGGACCTTGTGAGTTTGTAAATGTAAGGCTATACCAGATATTTATCACAATTTCTATTTTAATCTTCCAAATTCCATTCAACTAGCTGAAGACGACGGTAGTGATGATGAAAATTATTAGTTAATTTCCTAATTATTTTTATTTTTAATAAAGTTTTTTATGTTTATAGAAGTAATTGTTTTATAAAGTTAATTACCTATTTGTATTATTTTTGAGAAAAAGAGATTTTTTATGTTTAAATAATTAATAGTTTTAGAAAGTCAGTTTGGTTTTCGGGAGAGAAAGAGATTTTTATGATTAAAAAAAAAACTTAGTGTCACAATTATAAGTCGGATAATAATGCTTGTATCCAGTGAAGTTTTCTAATTTGATGTCAATAAATATTTTAATAGTACGAAACTGCTTTTTTACCTTTAAGTCAATAAAATATTACCATAATAATTCGTAAGAAAATAGATTTATTAATATGTCACATTATGAGATGATTCTTTACAGATTTATTGTTCTTTGCGTGAAAAAGACTTAAATTTTACTATGAAAAAATATTTTAGGCAACACCTTGGAGTTACAATTATCTGACAAAAATAAAATTAACATAAAAAAAACTAAATTGTGTCTTAGACATACAATGCTTGTCCTCGTAACTTATATGATATTTCAAAGTATTGTCTTTCTCGTAAGTCATGAAAAACCATGAAATCAACTTTTCTTTTACAACCTAACCGTACATCAAAACAGTGCACCCAAATAATATTAGATAGTGATAGCTTCAAATATTGTACAGATCGTTTTGAAGTTTTGAACGTAGTACATTTTTCTAAACTTTAAATTCTGTCTCTACAAATACAAAAAATTAGTTACGATGTTATTGCATGGAGGTGTCGCTTCTTGCATTGTCAAATTACTGACGCGATTGTACTTTAGCACTTTTTTATATATAACTAGCAATACTAGCTTGGCACGGGTGTTTTTTGTTTTTGGATCTCGACAACATATGCAAATAAACCATCATATAGCATTATACCTTCCTCTTGAATAATTCTGTCTATTCATGAAACTCGCATCAAAATTGGGTATTTTAAAAGATCCAAGCGAACAAACGGCGGGAAGCGACTTTGTTTTATATTATAGATAAGGATGACAAATGAGCTCACAGTCCACCTGATGGTAAGTGGATACTTTAACCCCTAGACATCTACATCTATTCTCGATTAACAATCAAAATGCAGATGCGTTATCATCCCTGTGGACTAAGAGGGAATGATTTGTTTCCGGTAAAAAGGGTCTCCGATTTTCTACACTCATCATACGAAACACAGCAACATTAAGCTATTTTACGCTATTTAACTCTGCGTATATGACGGGCTTAGGAATTTATTATGAATCATTTAATCTAAAATATACCTGAATAGTAGGAGTCATTATTTTATTTATTTTAATAGCTACAGCATTTATAGGATATGTTTTATCTTGAGGACAAATATCATTTTGAGGAGCTACAGTAAGGGAATAATCCTAAAAAATTATTAAATAAAATAAAAGTAAATAATGAAATAAGAATAAAAGTTGATCCATTAAATCTATTAATACCTAATGAAACAGAAACTTTTTTATTTAATGTACATTATAAGCAATACTTATTGAAAGTAAATTTTTTCATTTACCACTGGTTCGCAAAAAAAACCTCTGTCCTGGGAAGAACCAGCAAGAAACCCAACGGGACTATTTTTTTTTTCAAATAATAGCTTACAATCATGTTTACAATTAACAACACGACACAAATTAGAAATAGCTTGGTAGCGATCACCCTTCCCAGGGGTTACTATCATCTATAAATTCCTTAATTTGATTATATAATATATAACCCTTTTTATACAAACTTAGTTTAGTAAAATTTTTGAATTTTGCGTATGACAAATTTTGTATATTTTCTGGGATTTGATAAAGATTCTCACTTTGTCAGATTCTCTTTTCTCTTTCTTCGTGGAAACATTACCTCCCCACCACACTACGATTTTCTGCTGTATTGTGGGGGCGGATATACAAACATAAATTTCACAAGGGCTAACATAAGACCCGAAACAATTATTTGTCCATACAAATACTTGTTCTTAGCAGGATTCTAACTTGCGACCCATAGCGCTGCAACGACCAACTGCAACAGAGCCGTCAACGCAGATTACTGTCGCTATTTTACTTTAGCATTGAGGTTTTTCAGTTTAGTACAGAAAAGCCCCTTTTCTAATACGAGGTTTTCAGGCCACATGATGGCACATAGACGCCTACATCTATCCTCTTTCAGTCAATCTTTTTAATATGTTTTTCTTCAAAATCTTATCTATGTAATATGCGGCTTTTCTTTTCTATTCGCATTAAAATTTTCTTTTCGTGACATCCAGTACAATTGTGTCAACTCCAGTTAAATTATTGTTTTTTTTTATTTGAACAAATTTTGCACACAGCGGTGCGCTTGCGTTGTCGCAGCGCACCGCCTGGCAGGGTACCATGTAAACAGTCCACCTGATGGTAAGACGTAAGAATCGGGCGACTATGGAAAATGCTAGAAAAATTCACGGTTTCTGTTGGATGCTAGTATAACGAGAAGTCTAATACTGGAATTTGTCAATTCTACCGCCACGCGTAAAGATTAAGGCCGATCCTTGACTCTTCAGCAGGAGAGTCCCAAGTATGGTAGACTTTGGGGACTGAGGCAGGCACATATATATTTAATGTCTCATCTAAAATATATTTACTTTGTACTTAAAAAACTGAAGAATTGTGATGTAGTTGAAAATGTCTCAACTTAATGGCTCAACTTAATAATTTTTAAGTATTTTGTATTATTTTAAGTTTTATTCAATAATAACTTTATTCTATTTGTTCTAGGACCAGTAGGCATGGCCGCAGCTGCAGCCATCGCATCGTCAAAGAAACGCAAACGACCACACTCATTCGAGACCAACCCATCCGTCAGAAAAAGGCATCAGAATAGACTACTTAGAAAACTTAGAGTGAGTACCATTCAGTAACACACAAGTAGAAGCAAACAGTGCTATAATATGAATCACACACTATATTATTAATAATCACTTAAAAAAATGGAGCATTATCCTATAGAGTGAGAATTAAACTGAGAGTGGGTGTGATTTATGATGGGATGTAACGTCACCCTGTCTTACGCCTCTCTGCAGTTGGATAGGTTTCGTACTCTGGTTCTGTACTCGGATAGCCATCGTAGTCCTACTGTACAAACACTTCAGCACTTCAATATACCGACAGTCAACTTGACACCGTGGAAGGCACTTGTAGCACCGCCCATATTTCAGTAAGAGAGAGACAAACAGTAAGATTGGTCTTTAAGGCCCTGGAAACGTAATATATTAAAATTTGTATTTCCGAAATCGGGACAATTATTACTTTAACCAAAAGTAAATAAATAAAAATACATCATTTGGTTTTTGTAAACAGCAAACAATAGAAGAATTTGCGACACGTGTCGGTCAACAAGCAGTGGTGCTTGTGGCTACTCCCGGGAAACCCAACACATCTTACAGAGTGTTTGGTGCCAAGCCGCTGGAGGATGTGGTACGAAACCTACGTTGCATGATTATGGAAGAGTTGGAGAATGCGCTTGCACAACAGGTAAGCCGCTGTTACCATGAATTTGCTATATTTATTACTTTCTACTTTATATTATGTTTTTTTTTTTTAATAAAAGTAAATTAACATTATGTTTTTAATGAAATTGTATTGATTATTTCCTCTTGAGACATGAGCGATGAAAATAGTTCATTGTTGTACAAATATATGAATGTATGTAATGCACACACAGTGTGCACTAAATCTTCCGACCCACCCCATCTTTTAATTGACTGCAATCTTATCCATTCAGAGGTTGTCTGAAAGATATTGCTATCAACAATATCCTCATTTTTCATCACAATATAACTGAAGAAGTTATATTATATTCTAGAATTTGCCTTGTAATGCATCTTTTTATAACTTGTTTTTATGGTATATTTCCTCTGTATAGTAACCTGTAATTTAGGTTTAATTTAAAAAAAATAGGCTCCAGTAATTTCACAATGTTAGGTCCTTATTCCCCAAGTTCGCTATCTCTATCACACAATTGCATACAAAAGAATGAATTACTTTCTTGAGACCTAGTGGTCGAAAATTTTAAGCCGCTTTTGCAATAGAGCACAAAAAGCATAAATAAAACAGAGATTATGAAAAAGCTTTATGAAATTACTCATTCACTTTCGACAAATCACTACTCTCGCTACCCACATTCATAAATAAAATTTTCTATCATAATTTCTACATTCCTATTTATTTGATTATTTTTCGTTCTATTCCGAGCACTTTGAAATATTTAAGTTTTTCTATGTTACAATGTTCAAATATAAAGATATAATTTAGTGGTGAGGGCTTGGTGGGGGACGCTTGGAGTTGCAGCAGCAAAGGATGACAAACGAACATAAAGTTCACCTGATAGTAGGCAGATGCTGTTGTCTATTGATGTGTGTATTTATCCTAAATTTTAATTTAGAATAAATACACATGTCAATAGGCAACAGCAGATGCAGATGCATTGTCGTCATCTTTGAGGACTAAGACAGAATGCCTCGTTTCTAGTACAGGCGATCTATGGTTCTCGACACTCATGATACAAAACACGGCAACATTAAGCTGCTGTTCGAGCTGACTCATTCATGCTACAACCATAGTGTAGTTGTAGCATGACTACCACGTTTAAAGTTGCGTTAACCTGTCCAAACAATGGGTTGTGAGTAAGTGGTAAGTGTCAGGTGATGGTGGTGAGGCATGGGCAAGCAGCAGCTTTGGATCTTGGTTGTATTACTCTGTTCAAACATCGGGGCATAAGTTAGTGGTGGAAGTTGGTTGGGACGCAGCAGCATTAGCTCGTGGTTGCGTCACTCTGCTTGAACACGCGGGATAAGTTAGTGGTGGGAGGTCGGTGGGCCGGGGCGGCCACACGCCAGCCACATGACGAGCCCCAGTTCGGACTGGGCGGCTGCCCGCAGGCGCCGCCGCCGCCGCAGGAGGACCCGTCGCTGTTCGAGCTGCCGCCGCTCATCATCGACGGCATCCCCACGCCTGTCGAGAAGATGACGCAGGCCCAGCTGCGCGCCTTCATCCCACTCATGCTCAAGTATTCCATGGGTTAGTGCCGCACACTTCTTTACTCAATTAAATATAAAAAAGGGTTCTTTTAAAAATTATGAACCGATTTTGATTATTTTATATAAATAGATTATTTATATATATATATATATATATATATATATATATATATATATATATATATGTATGTATGTATGTGTGTGTGTGTGTGTGTGTGTGTGTGTGTGTGTGTGTGTGTACTCCCGTACAAATTTGGGGATACAATTGCACCCCTTAAATTGCAAAATAGTAGATACTATAGTTAAAATAGTATATATATAGGTAAAATAGTAGTACATTTGTAGCGGAACTATAAAAATATTTAGATTGTTACATTCACCAGTGCGCTAGAAATGCTCTACAAAAAGTTATAATATGACTTTAAATAAAAAGTAAAAGCCATCTTCAAAAAACGTAAATGAATAAATAACCTGACATTCTAGAGTTGGAACTTTAATTCTTGTATAAAATATATTTAGCACCAACTTCAGATTGTAAGTTTTAATGTTTATCAAATAAAACGTAGTAATAATTTTAGAAACAATATAGTTCAACAATTTTACACAACATTGAATAGTATAAATGTCATGTTTATATTATATTTTATACATATTATATATAGTTACAATTACAAAAAGAGTCCGATGTCTATAATATTTTTAATTTTATTCCAATTTAAGATTTAAAGAGAGTTATATCTTGTCAATATCATAATTATCGTTACTATTTTTAATCGCAAGTCTGGATGCCTGCACATGAGAACTGAAATGGAATACTTCATAGCCTATAAAATTCTTTATATACCCTTCATACTAGAACACAGCAGTGCATTCACTGCTTCTTAAAGATAGGACCGCACTTGGCGGAACTGAGCGACATGACTCATCTAAATATTTTTATATGAAATTATATGAGGCAACACGCACTAAGCGGCGACGGAACTATACTGCAGCAGAACTGCGCGGCAAAGTTAATCAAATGACCAACTCGTGTCGCTTAGTTCCGATGCGGATGCGGTGCAGTTCCGCCGAGTACGGTGAAATCTTAACTGAAAAAATATTTAAGAGGATATTATCTACACAATCCCAAGTAGAAAAGAGGTCCTACACACCTATACAAGGTTATTGACCACAATTTATCCGAAACCGTAAAGTTTTTATGGTTTTTTATGGATTAATTGGATTGAAATAAAGAGATTATTTTTCTTTTGCTTTCACCAAATCACTTGTTGTTTATGTCCATCTAAGAAAGTTTAAACTTTGTTTAAACTGTAATGCTTTTTTTTATTTAAAAGAAATACCACTATAACAATGAATTTAATATGCCTTTATGATATACAGTTCGCGGCAAGCCGGGTTGGGGCCGGGAGTCGACACGACCACCGTGGTGGCCCAAGGACCTACCGTGGGCCAATGTACGCATGGACGCGCGCTCCGAAGACGAAAAGCAAAAAGTAATTTTCTTTTGTTACATCGTCGCGTTAATACAGATAATAACAATGTCCTCCAGACTGATACACGACAGTCACGGCGGATAACGGAGACTAGCCAAAAGGAGACAAGCCTATCCACAGGACATGGTTATATAATCTGCCGCTGCGTGCGGTGTACACTGTACACCCGCAGGAGAATTTGGCATTTTAAAACGAAACACCATTGTGACAACTTTTCTACCTAACTTGTTTATTTATATTCATACTTTATTACAATAACCATAAAAATAAAACAGTATTCTATTTTGTTCTTCTTCTTCTTTCTTTTTTTATGGCGGTTTTTGATTATTCGCCAATGTCAGCGTGGAAGTGTTTATTGAGTACAAGCTCAGTAGTTACAAATACTATGCCCATGAACTAAAGAAGATTGTGATAATACAAGTGTCTTGTTTTATTTAAACAATTAAATTTTCCTTTTTATCTTATAATACTAGTGGTTGTACTGTTGAATTACCTAGGACAAATGACAAACACAGTTGCTATAACTACTTTAGTATATTAGTATTGACAAACATTAAACTTTTATACTATTAGAGTTAATAAAATCACACAGAATATATACATAAGGAGTGTTTGTGTAGGTTAAAAGTGAATCAAAATTTATAGGACGAGGGATGTCAGGAGGGAGGAGATCATAGAGTGATGAAGATAATTTAGGACAGTTAAAAAAAATATGGTCAGAAGTTCCCTCATCTAACCCACATTCGCAGAGGGAACTGTCCCTAATCCTCAGTTTGGCTAAATGTACTGGTGTACAAGCATGGCCAATTCGAAGTCTACAGATAGTTGATGTTGACTGTTTGTTAGCTTTATTAAATTTGAAAAACCATGGTTTTGGAGGAATGGCACCTTGTATTTGCAAGTAACACTATGTCTGAAGAGTAAACTAAATTACATGGCAAACCGTTTCGACTTGCATTTTTTAGCCATCAGATCAGCTGTTTCATTGCCCTTGATGCCACAATGACCTGGAATCCAAGCTAAGGAAACCTGAATACCCTTGAGATGACATGTGTACAATGTGTGTTTAATTTTGAGGATCAAGGGTATCTTATATTTACTTTGGAACTGGTGTGACAAAATTGCTAACAAACAGCTTTTGGAGTCGGTAAGAATAACTGACTTATTTAGGTTGTATGCTTCTATATAAATTAAAGCTTCATAAATTGCCGTGGCCTCGCCAGTAAAAGTGGAAGAAATAGAAGGGCATTTAAAATTGAGGATTATTTTGTATCTGGGAATCCAAACGGCTGCTCCAGTGCAACTTTCACCTGACTTTTTGGAGGCATCAGTGTATATAATAAGCCAGCCTTTCCATAAGTTATCTATGACTCTACTTAGTTTACTATTTGCTATAGGGCAATCTTTCTCAATACCAAGGTCGAGGTGGATATTTGGTTGATAAATAATTGCATCATATGGGATATCAAAGATGGGACAGGACTTGCATTGTGATACTGGGTGTGGTAGATGGAGTAATGTTACCAAACTGTTGGATAAGCAGGGAGATTCTTTATGAGTCCAGTAATGCTTTGATGAAATATATTCCAAAAGAAGGTGTAATTTAGAAATGAGCGGGTGGGAAGAGAGTTGGTAGATTTTAAAAAAGAATCGGTCCGAAAGATATTGTCTTCTTAGGTAAAGAGGGGGATCTACACATTCGACTTGGCCATTTATTGGGGAAGATTTCATTGACCCAATGATTATACGAAGGCTTTTGGCCTGAATCCTATCTACATTCTTTAGGGAAGACTTATTACAGGGTTCCAAGACAAAGCACCCATAATCCAAATGACTATGAATAAGGGCATTGTACAATAATTTTTGAGAGAATGGGTGGGAGCCCCACCAAACTCCCGATAAAGCTCGAATAACGATATGATGGGAAAAGGCTAGTTTGGAGTCAAGAATAACTCCCAAAAATTTTACATTCTCCCTAATTGGGATAGGTTCATTATTATAGAGAATGTTGATTTCAAGGAGTAGCCTATGGCGAGAGAAGATCACAACACTGCTTTTGGGAACAGCCAAAGACAAACCATGATCAGTTAACCAATCATGTAAATAGGACATTGATAAATTCAAGCGGGAACAAGCTACAGGGAGGTTATCCAAGGAAATATATATATAGCTATATCGTCTGCATATTGGAGGATGTTACAGAATGAGTTAACAGAAAGCTCTAGATCATAAGTATAGATAGAATAGAGCAAAGGACTAAGTACTGAGCCTTGTGGGAGACCTTTCCATACTATTCTTGGTGGGAGTAGAGAATGTTGACTATCAATATAAATGGATCTAGAAGAGAGAAAGTTAGAGACAAAATTTACTATCCTCACTGGAATACTCAGATTGAGCATTTTTTGCCTGAGCATAGGAAGAAGTACATTGTCATATGCAGATGCGATATCTAGGAAGACTCCAACAAGGTATTCATGTTTAGAGTAAGCTAAACGAATATCAGTAACTAGAGTACTAAGGCTATCCATGGTGCTTAAGCCCTTTCGGAATCCAAATTGGCTTGTTGCTAGAAGGCGTTTGCTTTCAAGAAACCATTCTAAACGATTTTTTATTAGGTGTTCAAGGATTTTGGCCATGGTACAAGAAAGAGCGATAGGGCGGTAGCTTGAGGGATCAGTGTAAAGCTTACCTGGTTTGTAAATAGGTAAAATAACTTGGGATTTCCATTCTTCTGGAGGAATACCAGAAAGAATAGAAATAGCTTTTTATTCGCATTTATAAAAAAATAGAAAGAAGAATAAGGAATTCCATCAATTCCTGGTGAAGAGTCTTTAAGGACACTAAGAACAGCATATAACTCCTCATAAGAGAAAGGGGCGTCAAAACTGTGTTGATAGTGCAAGGACTGTGATTGAAATGCTATACATTCATTGTAAGATGGTACTGAAGGAGGAGCAAGATTACTAGCAAAATTTTCTAGCCAATAAGACTGATCATTAGAAATTGTGTTTTCAGAGGTCAAAACTGAACATCGGAATTTTTTTATATTTTTCCAGACTAATGATGGATGGGTCCTAGGCGACAGTGACTCACAGAATTTAAGCCATCCAGCCTTTTTCTTCCCGGATAATAATTTTAATGTTTCAGCAGCAGTTTTTTTATAATAAATATAGTTGTCAAAATTCATAGAGTGGGAATATCTTACTTCAGCTTCCTTTCTCTTCTTACATGCTACAGAACAATCTTGATCCCACCAAGGTAGTGAAGGGGCATTATTTTTATAAGGTTTTTTGATGGGAATTGTCTTATTGGCAGCAGATAAAATAGCGTTTTTAAAAGAAGCATACACCTGGAGAACATTATCTTTCTGAACAGGAGGAAGGGCTGAAAGTTCTTCCTCTAGAACTGTGGAATATAGTTGCCAGTTTGCTTTGGAAGTGTTATATTTTAACCTAGGATTGAATGGAACATTGACTGTATAGGAGCTAGGGGGATTGATAACAATAGGGAAATGATCACTGCCATGGGAAAAGGGTAATATTCTCCAAGAAAGAAGGGACGACACAGCAGGAGAACAGAGTGACAGATCTACTGCACTTTTAGGATTTTGGAGGGGGGATACTCTACGTGTAGGTGAACCATCGTTAAGGAGGCAGAGATCTAAATCATCAATGATGTCTAAAAATGTAGAAGACCAGGGATCGCAAAAATGGGAGCCCCATAAAGTATGGTGCATATTAAAATCACCAAGAATTACCATAGGAGGCGGGATGGAGGATATGATCCTCGTAAGTTCTGATAAAACATTTAAACTAGGTTCGGGAATGTAAATAGAAAGAAAAGAAGTGTTATGAGCTCTAACTGCTACAACATTAATTGAAGGACTATGAGAAGGGAGGGAAATTAATGTATAAGTAATTGATTTTGAGATAAGAATGAAAGAGCCAGCATGACCATCATTCCTATCATTCCTGAGGCATGAATAACCTGAAATCCTAAAATGGGACCCAGGCTTAAGCCATGTCTCTTGAATGGCTAGGATGAGGGGATGGTATTTATTAATAAGGTAAATTAATTCATTTTTTTTATTATTAATGCTCCGGCAGTTCCACTGAAGTATTGGAGGGAAGGTTATTTGTTAATGAGATGAGCTCAGTAAGTTTTTGGCGGAGGGCAAGTGGGAGATCCATATCGCTGAAACGGGAAAGCATACTTATAGCATGGAGATCATTAACTCACAGAGATTGTCATTAGGGGAAATACTCCGCCCTATTAAAGCACAACCATTAGTAGTTGAAGAAGAAGGGGTATCTATTATTGCCTCGTGGGCAGATTTATCATATCCATGACTTTATGCTGGATTTGGCGGAAGTCTTGGAGTAAAAGTAGTCTTCCTGTAAGAATGAGATTGTGAGGGGACAACTGAAGGTAAAGGGGAATTTGAAATAGGATAGGGACTCTGATGATCATACGAAGGAAGGATTCTAGCAGCATCTGCATAAGATCTCCGGACATAAGGGAAATGGGCAGATGCTTCTAGATAGGAAATATTTTCCTGTGACATGGTAAGTTTGATAGATCTCTGCCTAGAGTGTTCAGGGCAGGAAGGATCTTTAGCTGTGTGAGATCCTGAACAAAATAAGCACGTGGGAGACTGTCTTGTGCATGATATTCCTTCATGATTTTGAGCACACACAAAACACCGGGAAGATGACCTACACTGTGAGGTTACATGCCCAAAACGACAACATTTGTGACATTGAATAAGAGGTAAAATGTAGGGCTCAACAGGCATTGAGGTAAAAAAACAATAAATGTTAGAAGGAAGTTTCTGACCGGAAAAAGTCAAAACAACTGTTTGAGAGGGAATCCACACAGTGCTTTGGTTTTCATTAACTGACTTTCTATTAAATCGGCGAGCTTTAATAATTGAGCCAAAACCAGCTGGGACCTCGATTGATGAGATGAGTTCCTCTAATGTCCATTCTACAGGGACCTGCCTCACTATTCCCATGCGTGTGACATTATAAGAAGGGATTACAGTATCATATTTAGCACCTGCAAGGGCTGGGTTCTCAATAAAACAATTTGCATTAGCTGCACTTTTAAACTCGACTGAAATTCTATTGCGTCCTACTCGCTTAACACCATCACTTACAACATTTTTAATATTATTATGGTAGAGAAAATGACCAAACTTTATCGGTTTTAAAACTACTCCAGTTGATAAATCATCTACTCTCTTACTTACATGTACAATAAACGGCGCATTGTCGTTATTAGAATATTTATGTTTTTTTTCTATGTATTCAGGGTGGGTATAAGAGGTCTGAATAGATGGAACAGGTTGAGATGGATCTGTAATTAATCGAGTTATTGGTTGCTTGCAATCTTTTACGCTTCGACTGATCAATTTCGATAGGAATATTATTATTTTTTTTCGTACCAGTATGGGAGTCACATGGAACCCCGTCGGGATCGGGAGGATCTTCCTCCATTTTATTCTAACTAATTACATATAAAACGGCACAATTAATAAACACTTACGGATTTATAACTACTAAAACCAACACCAACAGAAATAATAAACAAAAAAAAAGGTAATTCAACAGCTCTCAGAATAGGAAATAGCCAAAAACACAACGACACTTATACACCCCGAATATCGTTTCCTATTATTCTATTTTGTTTTCAGAATAGAAATAACACATACATTTATTTAACAAATACAATAAAAAATAAAATAAAAGCAAGATAATAAGTGTGCCTCCGGGTGTAACGACACTGTCTTAGTGAACAGACTGTATAGTGCCTGAGTGTATGCATAGTCCTTTTTAAAATGCCGGCAATGCATCTGCAATTTCACTGGTGTTGCAGTTGTTCATGGGCGGCGGTTGACACTTACCATCAGGTGAGCCACATGCTCGTTTGCCCTCTATCCTATAAAAAAGAAAGCATATAGAATATATAGGTCCATTCTATTCCCTCACTTTTATAGTCTGATGGGACGGTAAACATTCTAACCACTACCAAAGCAGAAAACACCATCAACTTCCATGTCTCCGGGCAGCACTGCATTACATTCCGGGCATAACTGATTTTTTTGCCCGACCCAAGTTTCGGTGCCCGTCCTAGTTACAAAGATTTATAACTCACAAAAAACTATCGAGTCAAAGTAATGTATTTGTTCTCAGATGTCATGGACCCATGCACTGCGGCAGATCGTGATCAATTGCTACAAGTACCACGGCCGCGAAGACCTTCTACCCGCCTTCACTGAGGACGACGACAAGGCACAAACACAGCCCGTTAGTATTCTAAACATATCTTTTCAACTGACTGAAGTTTCCTAGTACATAATATTTATAAATATGAATTATAATAATTTGTACCGAGTCAAACAGTTTATCCACCTTACAGAAAAAATAGTGTAAACAATGTTTTCTCGTATTTAGTTCTATGCACTTTATTGAATGTCCGGATTAATTATGACCAGTGTATATGGGATGACCATAAGTATTGTAAGAGGCGACAGAGGAATTCAAACCTGAATACACACACACACACACACACACACACACACACCACCACCACCCAGGCGCGCGCGCGCGTGCATGCGCACACGCACACGCACGCACACACACACACAAAAGCACTTCCTCTCATTCTCATCACACCGATACTCAACATACGGTATACAATAATACAAATATACAGTACTTACTACAATATGACGCAGATAAAAGTACCTTACGATATACACTGTAAATTATGTGTTAACATAGCTGAAGACAAAAAAAAATGTATTTAAATGGTTTGCAAATTGAAATGTAAATCTATAAAGGCTTCTATATTACTTAATATGTTCAAAACTTGTTTATATATTATATTGGTAAATGTACACGCTGTAGATTTTTATTCAATAAAAAAAAGAAGATGGACAGCATCATCTTCATGATAACAGCTGAATAAAAATAAAGAACTGCAGTTTTCCATCTGCTTGCCAAGCGTGGCAACTACGGCAAATGTCCTTATATGGCAATCTATGGGGGAGGCCTATGTTCCGCAATGAACATTTGATAGGCTGGAATGAAGCAATGTTATATTAGTTTTTATTGTTTATTTGTCTGATCTAAAATGATATTTGTTTTCTATACACGCTTCACTCGGAATGCTGCTCATGGATTCGGTAATTGTTGATTTCACCGACACCACACAACTATATCAAAACTATTCTAACCGGTTAGATATCGGCATGCATGCCCAATGCGAGCTCGAACTCATCGAGCGGCTCTTCAAATGGAAATGCTCGCTCCAACCATCAGACATCAGCCGTCTTGACCTCGTCACAAGTTTGCATTGATCAAATGACCCTGGCTGATGTTGATGTACGCTCTTTGCTTGACTTACTACTTACCATCATACCATGTACTCTTAATTCGCTACTGATGATCGAGGGTGGATCCAGTATTTAAATTTGAGGGAGAGCCTCAGTTCTAGAGGTTTTAGAAGCACAGGAAAAAAATAATCATAAATACAATAAATAAATAAATAAAAACGATTTATTTAATTTTATGTTATTTGTGTCTTCTTTTAAACTATTTTTATGTTACACATTTATATATATCGTTAATATCCCATTGTGTGTACACTATCCCAGATTGGTTCAACAGTCCCTCCTATAACTGTGAAAGCTGACCATCCTTCCCAGTTAGAGGCTATGATAGCCACGTGGGCCACCCCTCATGATCCTTTTAAAAATGCCTGAAGTGAAATTAATTTCTTGTAATTTTTACCTACCTATAATAACCGGTATTTTGAGTGTAGATATCCGGAGACCCTTTTTTACTGGAAACGAGGCATTCCATCTTAATCCTCAGGGGTGACAACGCATCTGGGTTTTGATTCTTAATCGGGAGTTTTAATGTGTAATAAATGTAATTTATATGTTTATGGGCCACAGCATCCACTTACTATCAGGTGCACTGTGCTCGTTTGTCAGTCCTATTCTATAAAAAAAATTCGGAGCTATTAAAAAAGGGTAAATGCTTTTATTCTTAGTATTTAATCCTAAAAATACTTAAAGATTAGTATTTTTAATACTATAATTTATAAAATATAAGACAGCATTTTTTAATGGTTCCGACGAAACAAGTCTTCACCTCCTTCATCAGCCTATATAAGTCCAATGCTGCACATAAACCTTTCCTGTTACAGGCAGGATTTATTTTAATTATAACCAAGCTAGACCAAGGCGGATTGACGATTGCAGACGTCTCGTACATTTTACGCTGCTCCCTGTAGCGGCTTGTTAAAGATCTAGTAGTTTGTCTCAACTACTAGATCTTTCTGAAGCCATGGCCCCATGTCACCCTCTTGATGAAATTCGGCGATGGCTTCTTTGACCATCACGTTACTCTCACATATGAGTAACTTTCGAAGAAGATGCAAATGTGCTTTCTAACCGACTTCCAAAAGGAGGAGGTATTCAATTCGACTGTATGTGTTTCCTCAGAACTTTTTTCTGGGTGAACTAATTTTGATGATACTTTTTTATTTAAAAGCTGGTACTTCTCGTCTGGTCCCATATAAATTTGATCAAGATCTGACCAGTAGTTTTTGAGTAATCCTTAATAATGCGTATTCAATTGATTTGGAAAATATTGATGGTGTTCTAATTTTATTTATATTGAAGTCGGATGTACAAAATATTTTAATTTTACCGCTTGTTTACTTATTAAAACAGAATAACCATAAGCCATATGTACTATTAGAACATCTCACACAAATAATATTGCTTCTCACCATTAGTCTGAAACTTGGGTTCAGCTTTTTGAACAGAATATATTTTTTCGACATCGATGGTTAGTTGGCAGAGTGCAATGCGAGCAATTGGCATTAAAAAAATTGACATTTTCTCCATTAAACTCTTGCTACGCTAATTAGTAGTCTTGGTAAAGTTACTAAAATCCTTTTTAAGTAATTTCAAGTACTTAATAAGTTGCATTGTGGTGGCATCTTACGAGAATCCATTTAGTCCCATGGGTGTCGTTAGAGTTGACTAAAAGAAAATACCAGAAATACATATATTGTGACTGCCCAATATCTATAGATGGCGCTATAGTCATCTCGTTTACACCTGGCGTAAAATACTAGCGACCGAGAGCATCGTAAAATATGCGAGAAATTTGTTACTGCAAGCAATCCAACAGCTAAATGTGATAATATTAGAAATCATGTCCAGTCGAGGACTATTATTATGTATACTTTCTCATTAATGTCATAAATTGTTTTTATTACATTATTTAACTTAAAATAACAAGGGTGTTAATCCACTTCCAGATGTCTCAGTATGCGCCCGCAGTGCTGCAGACCATCACGAACCCAGACGGCACTGTGTCGCTCATACAGGTGGACCCTAATAACTCCATTATCACGCTGCCCGATGGCACTACTGCTCAAGTGGTTAGTTAATTCTTCCATAAATATAATTAACATTTGCCCCTATAGTTACTTTGAATTTCACAACACAAGAACAATCGAAGTTCGATCATGTTTGATACAACTGGAAGTAATTGCAATTAAGTGCGGATATATAACATGCTTCAGTGAGGAAACCTGTATAATTCCTACGATACGTTTCGTTTTACGCAACGATATGTTTTATTACAAATGAAGCGTATTATAAAAACAGCGATGCGTTTGAGCCTGTAAACTAGCTGCTGGCATTGATTGCTATTTGGCCGCAGAATCGATGAAGACATACCCAGATTGAGTAATAAGAGTGCTAGTCAAAGACTTCTATATATATACTATTAGACTGGCAATTCTGAACAAAAACTGTGGCTGTGGATTCCGCGGGTACAATACGTTGATTATGCAACACGCGTCCAACGCAACGTCGATCTGCGATGCCGATGTCTAGATCGGCGTGGGAAGGTGGAGGGGATGTTCGTACGAAATCCCACACGTATAGTCCGTTTCATGAAAGAAGTCCCTTAGCCGCGGTACCACAGTCTTTGCGAAGTTTGACATCTAGTGTCAAATTCCAAACATTAAATTTTTATTCGCACATTTTCCGTGGAACCAGTGTGTTCCTAGAACTTACGCGTAGCGCGTCGTAAACAAAAATACGAGTAGACCTATGCACCGTAAAATCTACATAGTAAACTTTACGAGTTCCCATCCACCTACTGCTATCATTTTTGTTATTAATGTGAAATGAGGTCAGGGCACGAAATTAATAAAAAAGTTTTTTTTTTATATTTTTGTTCCACTTACGATTAGATGTGAGACATGATTTTATATATTGCGGAAATAACACATTGTATTCTACATATTCATAAATTTTAACAGAATTACTACCTAAACGTTTTTTAATATCAATAATTAGATTTAGAATATCATTCGCAAACCCACTCTCACAGCATCAGAAAATATGGTATAAATTTGTAGTCGTGAGTCCGTTAAAAATGACAAATGTATGACAGCTAACGCACCTTGCATAAATAAATCAAGACTGTACATCAACGTAAGACCTTTCATACATCGCATACGTTGTGTGTACGTCTCTCCCTGCTCTAGTGCTGGTACGGTAAATATGCCACGCAGTTGTATTTTCATTTACGACAGTTAATTTTTTTTAGCCAAAAACTAAATTTAAGTAACAGTACCTGGAAGACCGAGCTTTGCTCGGTATTAATTAAAATTTTCGTATTTTCATAAAATACTAAAAAAAGGGCTCGAAATAATAGATTTTCTCACAAAAGAAGGAAACTTGAAAAAAAAGGAAAAAAGGTCGGCCCGAAGACTGCGCGAACCAAGGCATTACGATTTCGCAGCCGCTCGATATCCACTTGAGCTATTACGACTATCAACACAATGTCAAAATTTACCTTCTTATATTGTAGCAGTTTTTTATTGCCTGAAAACACGGACAAAAAGACATTTTCTAAAAATAAATCCTAGCTAGATCGATTTATTGCCCCCGAAACTCCCTGGACACTAAATTTTATGAAAATCGTTGGAGCCGTTTCCGAGATTCCGATTATATATACACAAGAATTGCTCGTTTAAAGGTATAGGATACTTCATGTAAGTATATAACTTAAATTCAAATCACGTTGACAAAGTGCGCACACAAATAATGACAGCGTTTTCTTAAAATCAGTGTTAGAATGTTCAAAGCAACGGTCGCAGCTTACAAAACAAAAAGTAGTTCGCCGCCCGCTCATAGTTGGTTAAAGAAGTTACGGAGAATTGAGCGTAGCACAGAGTTCGTCTACTAATATACATAGAAGTGTATGTTTATAGGTCTTTTTGGTGAAGTGCAAAGGCTTGGCGTGGGTATTGAGAATATTCTTTCACTTAGTGTTTGTATTAGTTATGTAGTGGGTTATGTAGTCTTCTCCAGACCGAATTTCGGTCTCGGCACCAGCTTCAACGGAAACTAACCATTGGTGTAGGACAGGATTATAGTGCCCAAGTGTATGCACAAGCCCAGGTGCACTCTCTATTCCCTCACTCTCATAATCCGATAGGACGGTAAACCGACACGATCAGAGAGAAGATCAGGCGCAGGACCAATGGGTTTACGTACTTTCCGAGGCACGAGAGTGAGACACCGCTAACTTCCTCACTCCGGGCAGTTAATGAGAATTTCTTGATGAAAAATCTCAATAACTGATTTTTTGGCCCGACCCGGAATTCGAACCTAGGACCTCATGATCAGCAGTCGCATTACTACAACCACTAGACCAACGAGGCAACGAGGGCGTGTAGCAGTATACATAAAAATTGTTTGGTGGAAGTACCCTAAGATTATGTGTGGTGGTTGTGGTTGCAGATCCACAGCGGGGAAGGGGGAGCGGGCGTGGTGCAGGCACTGGAGGGCGGCGAGGGCGCCGTGGCGGTGGACCTCAACGCCGTGGCCGAGGCCACGCTCAACCACGACGGACAGATCATACTCACCGGCGAGGACGGACACGGTGCTAACTGCTTACTATCTCTTAGCTTTATACTACACTAACAGAGTCTTTGCTTAATAGTTGCTGCATATTTTTCTTATTAAACTGAAGTAACAAACAAAGTTATAGTCCATCTAATGATAAGTAGCTACTCATGTCCATCGACACGAGCCAAATGAATGCCTCATGTTCAGATTGAATGCTTGTTATATTGACTCTCTAAACCCTTCACACCTACAAACCATAGAATACTGTAATACACAATAGAATTGCTCTCAACCTCAACAACAGCTCTCAACAAGTAATTACGTCGTATAATCACTACTACAAACCCGATTCCGCTGTGTTGATGGACTGAGTAAATTTACACATTTTAGACTTTTGATTAATGTTCAAGATCATCATTAAAAAAATCGTTTAAATTTCAATACATATTTATTTGTAAATAGTGTCTAATTTGGCATTTTCTAAATAATTTGCATGGAAAATTTGGAAACGATTGTAACGTCAAAACACATCGCATGTTGACATTTATATCTGTAAATTGACATGTTAGTGACATTTTAGTGGCTACGTGAGCTCCGTCCACTCTCCCGTTCTATTATATATTATAGTACATATTCTATGGTGCAGACGTACTTCTATGTAGAAAAGAAGCCTATCGTCTAGTATCCATTCCATCACCCCGTTTCATGTGGAGGTTTTCGTAAGAGATGATAACGGGATATGTCAAAACATATTATAGATTCAGATATATTGTTGTTAATATCTCGGTAACACCAGACGTAAAATATTCACACTGGCGTCGAGAAGCAGTGTTAGAAGTACGAAACGTCTGGTACTATGATCATCTATCCGCTTTCAAAGCGTGGCGGTTATAAACCAATGTCCGGATGTTATATTTTAAAGGCTGATAAAAAAAAGGCAAGACAACACGTACAGTCTTGATAGCTGTCTCTTTGGTGTAATTTGAGGAAGCGAAGTGATTTTGATGAACAATCTTTCACCAAATTAGTCAATCATTGTTGTTGTGTATTGGACATTCACGTGTCAATGTATGTGGTAGAGAAACGCTGTAGCATAAATAGTTCAAATCGACCGGGGAAAGACGCCACTTGCACAGCAAATATCAGTGTAAAATATTAGCATACGGCTATTGTGTTTCTAATGGTGAGTGATGAGCTGATGAGGAATGTTCTTTTTTCTGGTAATGAAATATTTCTATGCTGTAAAAAAGAAGCTATTAAGATTGTTTTCATTTCTATTGTATAAATTTTTGTTTATAACCTGCTCTTATTAAGTTGATCAGTCAAAAATCTTTTGTTCAATTTTATAGATACCAATTAATCGATTAACCGTAATCATCACATTGATTAATCGAATAAAAGTTCTAGGCTTTTTGTTAAAACAGATTCGATAGATGCTGCGATGTACGAAATACTGTATTCTCAGTAAAATATTAATAATAAAGTCATACCTCAAATAAAATGAATATTTTTTAAAAGTTATTTTTTCAGTTTATTTATCTAATTTTAATTAACATTTCCATTGACTTTCATCTATTGATGACAAAAAATTAACATAGAAAGATTTCTCATGTCTGTAGCAATCAGGCCAGCCTCTGAAAATAGTCTTAGGAGGCACCAATGTTGAATTTGTTAGAAATAATTGACAACTATTTAATTGCTGCTTTATAATCAATTAACTATCACTCCCTTTGCACACTAAGTATATTTCCAAACTAAAAACATTTACATACAACAAAACCACAGATATTCGAATGAAATGTGAATCTTTTTATTCTATTTGAAGTAAGTCTGGCAAATCACAAAGATTATTGGTCAACAGCCAAAATGATCAATTTTATCTAATATTGTGAAATATCGATTAATTAGCATAAAATAATCGATTATTTCAATTTAAGATTAATCGATCGAGTTGCAAAAATTTTACTAGCTAATGATCTTTCGTTTAATCGAATTCATATCGAACATCGCTAATCTACATCTATCGAGTTTCTACATGTTTTATCAGGTGATCACTCCGTCTAGTATTAAATTGCCCTATAGTTCGGTAATCATTATGACACTACCATTAGAGAATATTTCTTTAGTTATTAATTCTTTGAGCGTCGATTCAATTTACACTAATCTATAAGCTAAAGTGGCAAAGGGCCTTATGACCTATAATAGTTTTTCAATTCAGTTTTCATCCATTTCAAGATATCTGAATAGATTATGTATCTGAAATTTCGTAGAGTATTGGTAGTGGGTATATGTATGGTGATGATTGCGATGTTTGTGCAGGGTACCCGGTGTCGGTGTCGGGCGTGATCACGGTGCCGGTGTCGGCGTCCGTGTACCAGTCCATGGTGGCTTCCATGCAGCAGCAGGACGGCGTCTGCGTGGCGCCGCTCGTGCAGGTGCGCGCAAGTGCCCCACTCCGCGCGCGTGAGCCGCGTGACCCGCGCCGCACGGCACATACGTACACGCACACGGCTCGTAGACCCATACGCTCGCAATAGAGACACCTCATAAACAACAACATGCTGCAGGTCCCCACGTATGACACGTGTGACACACGTGCCACACGTCACACGTGACACAGGCGAAACACGCACACACATACACCTCTTATACAGCTACGAGAACAAACTATTTTACCATGTTCCCAAGTTTGGATTTTTCGCTATCTAAATAAGATTTAAGGTTACCCTCGAAAGGAGTTGGAGCGACCAAAAATTGTAAATGGTCATTATAAAGACAATTCTATTCTATGAATTGTGTAATACATGATAAAAATAGATTTTGCGACTAGCTTTTAATTATAGCAATTTTTTTGTAGTAGCCCTTTTTTCTTAGCTACAGTTATTTTTACTCTTATTGGAAAAAAAAAACTACCCTTAAGATTACTTTGGTATGATATTCATCAATGGAATTGAGCCAAACTTTGCAACAATGCCTTTTTTCTTAAACAAATGTTTATTGCCACAACCATCCACCTAAACACAAGGCAAACAGTGTATAAAATACTTTATTTTCATAATTACAATTACATACTACAAATTTTCTTTCAAGTGATAAGAAATATCTATGAAGTTAATATAAAACTAATGCTACATTTTTAGCTTCCATATTTTTATAATTATCATATGATGCGAGATCTTTGATTAATTCTAGATAAATTATATATTTATATGCCTTGTGTCTACACACACAAATTTTTATCAATACACTAAACGAATTAATTGCATATTATAACTAGCTATAGAGACTAGTATAAACAGCTGAAATTATTTTTTACCAAAATATGCTATTCTATTGCCATGTAATTTTGTTATATGCTTCCATCATTTAGTTCTAATTTGGTTCACAATAATCAACCAAGTTAATAGCTAAGCTCATGAAATTAACCAAAGATGTAAAGTTTAAAAATCATAAGGTGGATTGGCTAGAAATTATTGAAAGACTCTAATGTTAAACTTTATTATATATAACATCCAATTGATTTTATGTGAATGTAACAAGAGGTTTCCTGCTAATGCCACTGTTGTGTTGTGTGCCATTCAATATTTATTCATTTAGTAGTTGTTTTTATATATAAAAAGGACGTGCATGACAAATTCACAATTTATTTATATTTGTTTTTGTTGTAGTAGTTGATATGGCCATTTTATTGCATGCTTGAAATTTTAAAAGTAAGTTGTATAAAGGAAATAGATATATTTATTTAAATAGTTAAGAAGTGAACACTTTTTGTTTGATGAATTTTAAAATGGTTATTACACATATAATTAAGTTTAGAGTTATGTTTGTTGCTTTAACTTTGCAGTTTTCGTTTGTGATATTGTTACTTTTTAGTGTTTAAGCACCCACTGTACTGGTGCTGTATGCGAATGTGTGATATTTTTGACCAAAGTATTTTCCCAAAAAAGTGATAATACTTGTATGTCTATTTATTTTAATGCATATGTGTTTATTAAGTCGGAAAGCGGTAGTAGTTGAGGTTGGAGTAAATTGTCACTGTTAATTAAATATTTTTATAACATTTCATTTATAAATGTTCTAGTATCGTACAGATGTACAGTGTCTTTCATATATTATGGTCTCGTACAGTAATCCTTTTGCCAGTGTCAAGAAAAAAAAATCTTATTATATTATTTTATTTAAAAATAACTTCTTACTCGAGGTTTATATTAACATCGGATCACTTGTCTCGTTGTTTCCACTAATAGTTTACATGCGCAGACTAAAATTCTTTATAATAATAAATCTGTATAACACACCTTGTCGAATATAATGAGCTCGCCTCTGACTTGTTTAAAAATAACAGGTAAATAACTGACTACGAAACTATTCCATGTGACAATTTTCTCCAAATTTCTTTTGTTGCTAAAATGTTGCTTGAGTTCATAGTTTATTTGCGTTAAATATAAATATTGTGCTTTAACTTGTAATATTACCCGGTGAGGTACTGGCAGAGTCGCCACACATGATCTTATTATTTTAGTATAGTGCAACTGTTGATAGTGTTGTTTTTCGTGCCTTTGTTCAAATTTAAAAAAAAATATTTGGATTATAATTATTTGAGTTGCGTGGGTTATTTTCAGGCTAAACGAAAGTATTATTAAACACTAATTTAATAAATCTTGTATTTAAAAAAAAAACAGTGAATTCAGTTACTACGCGTTAATTTAAAGTTTGCCGTCGTCGACCGTTATGATATCACAGCTGACGGTACCGTAGACAAAAAAGTTATCATGTTTATATACATATTATATTGCGTAAACATGATGACAATTTTTTGTCAAATTGAGCAAAACTAACTAGTTTGATGTCCTGTACACAGAAATTGAGAGCAAACAAGTAGATAAAATGGATATTATAAAATAACGAGTCCGATACGATTACAAAATACTATAATTAAAAATGTTATAGTTTTATTTTACTTTTAAAATATGTATTTCAAATACGTAAAATATTATGAAGGCGCTGCTCTCGGTAGTAACAGGGTGGCGCCTGAGGCGCGGAGTGAGGGAGCGCGGCGGGAGGTAACGGTGTTCTTGGAATGAACAAGTACTACATAGTTTTCCACATCAAAATTAACAAGACGGAACCCTGGTGTCGGTCTGCGTGCCACAAACGCTTTTCTTAGACTACTTCAATGTAATTGAAACTATAATATGCAAACCCGCCCGCCCGAAAACGTAGGTATGCGAGTTTAAAAATCCTAAACTTCCATTTAATAAGGGGTTAGTTTCAGGGAGTAAATAGGGATAAAAGTTAATAAAAAAATATTATAGTATTTTAGTACTATTCTTCTGTGCAGATGTAAATCCAAAATTATAAATAGAAATTATATAAAAAAATCCTAATCAAATATTGACAATAAAATACTTAACCCAGAAAATGATTAGGAATTATATTCTATAATTATTCAAATATTTTTTTTCAAAAACGTCAAAAAAACTTTTTTCGTCAAAAAGAACGTTTAGCAAAATTCGAAGAAATCATAAACTGAACTGAACTGAATCGAAAAAAATTACTAGCACTGCAATTATTATTATAGACGAAATATAATACAAAATATTTTTTTAATATACATTTGTTTATCATAATAATTATTGAATATAATTTTTCTGTTTACTACTGGTCCTGAAAATAATAAACAAGAATTTTTTACGTGAATGTAGGGATGATGCTAACTCCAAAGCTAGTAGTTAGAGATGATCTCGATTTAAATTCTTGCTTTACAATGTTAAAATTAGAATTTAAATGTTAAAATTGTGTCTAGACCATACTTTGTTACATAAAATTGTAGTTTTGGTGGGGAGTAGCTTGCGTTAGACCGTTTCTTTAACAATGTGAACAGTGCTTATATGTGACTTTTATGTTCTGAGAGGTCTATAAAAAGCTCACTTTTTTGTTAGAATAATACTTATTTTTATGACATCACTGCTCAAACTAAGAATCGTGACACCTTCAGGTCAAAATCAAATTTATTGGATAATTTTTAACACAATATTAATTTTAAGTTGTCGAATGATAGGTATATGTAACTATGCGACAATTGATGGACGAGATGCATTTAGTTTTCATTTGTGCGTACAGACAGTTGCACGAGTTATGAGCACATTTCGCAATGCTTTACCTGCGCAGTATTAAATTTATATCTGCTCTATAGCAACACGGGCAACCGGCAGCTTGAAGGGTCGTAGCCATACGCAGGCGTTCCCCTCTGTCAAAGTTACAAGTCCACGCGGTCCTACGCGTACAATAAAACTAGTTGCAGTCACACTGCTCACTAGACTAATTCTAGTTACAGTAGTAGTCAAAAAAACGTTGACTCAGGCGCGTATTGTTTAATTTTTTGCTGCAAAAAGAGATCTGTCACGTCGAATTTACAAAAAGATGGCGTTACTTTTCATATATAGTGTAAGTGATTTTAATTCAAAATATTGATATTTACTTCTTTTTTAAACATATAACGATTGTGTAGTCGTGTGGTTTTGAATTTGAATACCAACACTGGCCTCTCGCCCTCATACAATATGCAGATCAGTCGAGCGACTGATCCGATTCTGTATCCGAGTTGTCGCTGTCACCGAGCGATGCTATTATAATGTATCTATGTGTGTGTGAAATGGTTAGTTGTTGTTTTAATTGTTATGTGTGAGTTACGTAGAGAGAGACGATTGTTTTTTGTGCGCATATTTGCCCTCGCAAAAATGGCAATTCGGTATCGGGAGAAAACGCTATGGCTACTCCGCTCCGGTCCGCCGGTGGTCCGTGTTGCTCTATGTATCTATTAGTTAAAGTACGTGAACATTAATACATTCATTCAATCGTACAGTGATAGTAATAGTAGTCATTTATTCAGTAGTCGTTCGTCATGTAATAGATACTCACGTGTCATTCGCTTGCTGTTCGTAGCACATACTTACATTAAGCCGCGACTACGGTCTTAACTACCACTAACAGTCGGTCATTGAAGCCGTCTAGAAGGAACAATTGTGCAATGCGGTCCGAGACGAGATGCGCTCCCGAGCGACTACCTGTCTGCTAGGATGGTCCTGTCACGCAAATTAAAATTAAAATAGTTCGGCAAAAAATTGTGACTCGTACTCATTTAAAGATAAGGAATTAAAGTTTCATCAGTTTTCACATACACAGGAATTTGTTATAAGATGAAATAAAATAAAATCAGTTTTAATATTTTTATTACATTCCGTTGTGACAGCCCTAGCAATTTATTGTTTATGTCGGCTTTAGCGACAACATCAAACGCAATGACTGATTGATTGTATGGTCTTCTTAGGGTATGTTCCGAAATACAACCCAGTACACTGGCAAATACAAATGACGTCATCAATTGACACTATATTGTACTGGCGTACCGCCGCCATATTGCGTCGGATATCCGGCCACAATAAAACAATTTTTAATTGTGTGTGTGCTGAATGAAGCATGCCAGAATTTGTTTTTATTTATTCAAATACTTAGAATAATTTCTGGTATCTCCATTAGGAAGATATATTATTTATAGGAAGATATATGAAAATAATGATTTTTGGAGCACAATATGACAAAATAATCGCCAACACTTTTCCAATATGGCGTAAATGTATGACGTCATATACTGTCATATGTTTTGGAACGAATCATCAGTATAGCGTCGATTCATGACGTCATTTGCATTGGACAGTACACTGGGTTCTGTTTTGGAACATACCCTTAGGCTGTGCCGCTACTGTCACTTCATGATCACGACTCGTGCTGCTTTCTAAGAAGTAGGCTTAATGTTTTTATTTTTGGTCTTTCACCTTGTTATGCTATTAGATTAAAATTATGCTTTATTCTTTCAATGACCGGTGTTCATAATTTTATGATAAAGTATTAAATTAATGCTTTTAGTCCAAACGCTGATAGTTTAAATTGTAAGCACGTTATTTATGAAGAAAATTTCTTCTCAGATCTTTCTAGGCTTCTTTTTTAAATTCACAGAAAAATAACGTTTTATGCTCCGCATTTCCCATGATACTTAGTATTTATTTATTTATTTTATTCGTCGTATTTAGTTTCTGGAATTAAAAAAGAAACGAAAGTAATTAATTTTTATCAATGGATTTATGATTGACTAGTTTCGCGTATGCTGGCACTTTAGGTTCGTCTAACCGTCCATGTTCAAATGTTGGTGCAAATTCGTTCCAACCATAAACCGTGCTTTCATATGAACCGATAAAAATTTATTGAAAACTACGATGTTGAATGCTGTTTGTACATCGCAAAAACAGTTTACTGTAAAGAACCGCGTCACACTTGACAATATTGTGTTCGTAATATATTACCGCCACTGCCGATTTTCGGATGTACTCGGGCGACCACCCAATTAGCGTAAACTACCTCTCTAACACATCGTAACACGTAGTGTTGAAAGTTCATTTGTGGTTTAGACGATCCGTACGGAGCCAGCATTAGATTGTGCGCTCGTATGAAATTGCTATTTGTTGTGTTGCCATGTATGTCGCATAAATAAATATGTGAATGTTGTCTGTTTGTTTGTTTTATTTGAATTTGCCAGTATTTTCCGTTCGCTTGCATGTCAAGGTATGTATTCAATTTTTCAGTATTTGATTGAGTTTTTTTTAAAGTTTATTATAAATAACATTTATAATTACTATTTTTTTAGTTTATATCAGAACATTGATTTATAAATTCTTGATGGTTTGTTTTAACATCTTTGCTAAATTTACTGGTATAATGGCCGCCTGTACTTTGTTTATTTCCTGTTAGCTCATGGCGGAAATCCTCACTAATGTCTGATTCAATAAACTTAGTTTTCCCTAACGATCAATTTTATTACATACAAGGGACAAAAGTTTTCATTACATTACGTGAAGTGGTTTGGATGTAAGAGGCGGCGGAGTGAAATGAAACAGGCGGTAACATGTTCACTCAAGATAATAAAAAACTGCGGTTGTCAAGCGTCTTTACTTTGGTAAATAGCCGTTTACCGGAGATTTTTTAAATCAATTGCATTTCCACGCTTAGCAAGCGAGTTGGCTACCGTGGTTTTCTTTATTTTTAGTCGTAATTAGGAAGACGCTGTCCATCTCCTGATTTGTTTCCATCAGTCGCCTCTTACGACACGCACGGTATTATGTGGGTTAGTGGATATTATTACAACGCCAATACATGGTAATACTAAGATAATAAATAGTAATAATATATCTTTATTTGGTTGACTGCGAGAAATGAATATAGCAATGAAACTGTGGCAGGTGGATCAGAACGGCGAGACGCTGGAGGCGATATCGATGGGCAGCGGCGTGGCGCAGGTGATGCTGCAGGGCGGCGGCGAGGCGCAGGTGCTGCAGGTGCTCAGCCTCAAGGATGCCACCGTGCTCACCAAGGCCATGGTCAGTCAGCCCTCCGTCTACAGTACGCCTTATTAAAAACTGATCGGGGTAGTAAGTAAAACACCGATGCTGATGGTGACCACTCGGGAGTTTTAACCGATAGGAATTCGGGATAATCATTCCGTTGCAATAAGTAAAGATGCACAGACTCATTGGCCATTGGGGCTACACTGAAAAACTAATAGCTAATAGCTAAAAGCGGGCCACTAAAACATTTACGTCAGGCCTTTCCTTGCCCTGCTCCACCAATTGCCACTTGACAAAATACGTATTATTAGGGCACACAGACTGGTTGGGCGGCGGGCCTAAGGGTTCCCGAGTTCGATTCCCAGGTCGACCCTTGACCCTATTGTGCGAGATGTTATACTAGGTGGACTGTATACGCGGTTGGTTTCTTATGCCTCAACAAGATGGCGGACGTGGCACACGGCACCTTGGACAATGCACTCGCTCTTCCAAATCTATTGCTTGCCAAGGTTAGGATGGAATTCTACTTGAGCATTGGAGCTTGGGGCGGGTTAACTAACAAACAAAATGCTCAAGTAGGAGCAAAATTACGGGAAAACACACTTACCGAGGTGTGATTTTGTGTGGCGACGCTTCGTTGCGGTGATGCGATGTGAGGTGGGTTCTTCTGGGGCGCCCCAGAGATGCGATCCAGGCCAGTGGTGCCAAGGAAGAGAGCGGTGCGCGACGATATCTCACACTATGTGAGGTGGTTACTTCTGGGACACGACTGCCCCAGGTGGTGCGGTTCAGACTAGCGGCGCGTGGCAAGAGGTCGCTCGAGGGCCGCGCGCGAGCCTTTATTGCCTCGGCTTTCCCACCAAAAGCACCTCAGTCGGGCGCGCTTCTCATTGGTCGAAAGAATTGCGTCACCTTCTAGACTTCCCCTTTTCCCCCTGCAGTGTGTACGGAAGGTACATTAGGTCAAAGGATGGATAAACACTTGGCAAATATACCCTCGAACAAAATTAAAATACACGAATCGTTTCCGCGTAACCACAGACTAAATTACATATTTTAAGGTCAATTTTTAAGTTTCAGTCAATTAATAACACCGACTTTAACGACGCATAAAATTTAGTAATACTAATATAAACTATGCTGGATTGCGACTAACCTTCTCGTTAGAATCAACGGTCCTATGCGATTCAAATAAGAATAGGGGTATGTTTCAAAATAGAACCCAGTGTGCTGTCCAATGCAAATGACATCATGAATCGACGCTATACTGGTGATTCGTTCCAAAACATAGGACAGTATATGACTTCATACATTTACGCCATATTGGAAAAGTGTTGGCGATTATTTTGTCATTTTGTGCTCCAAAAATCATTATGTCTTCCTAATGGAGATACCAGCAATTATTCTATAATTTTTTGTAGTTGAATAAATAAAAACTAATTCTGGCATGCTTCATTCAGCGCACACACAATTAAAAATTGTTTTATTGTGGCCGGATATCCGACGCAATATGGCAGTGGCACACCAGTACAATATAGTGTCAATTAATGACGTCATTTGCATTTGCCAGTGTACTGGGTTGTATTTCGGAATATACCCTAGGACTGACCTGACGCTATATTGTGACGACATATCTGTCAATTCAATCTAGTCAGGTAGGGTAAGCAAAACAGACATTTTTGAAATAATATTTATTTACAAAAGAAACATGAACGAAATAGTATTAATATGAATCTAGAATTTCAATTTCGCTCATTTCTACATCACTTTGAGTAGTCATCATTATCATCACTGCTGCTTTCTCTTATAAAAATAGAACATGGATTTAAAAAAAGTAACTTTCAATAAGTATTATTTATAATCTATATTGAATAAAAAAGTTTCTGTTTTATGTAGGTATTTAAAATCTTCCATCGGCTAGTATCAATATTTTGAAATAATTTATAGTAATTGATAAATAATTATGATTTCACTAGATTTGGTAATAGTAAGACTCAGTTAAATAAAGCTGATAAAATTTTAATAATTTTTTTTTATATTAATACACAATTTAATTTATCTTTGCAAGTCGTACTTTGCAAATGACAGTTAATAGATTGCGTTTATTTGAGGTCATTGGCGTTCCTATTGTTATTTGAATCGCATAGTACTACTTTCGTTCCGTAAGTACTGTACATTAAGCATTTGTTTTCAATTACAGCAGGTGAAAGCAGAACGAGAAGCCGTAGTAACAGACTCCTAGCTGATGTCGATGGGGGGGTCACCAGGAGAGTTGCTCGAGGAACGTACCTAGCGACGCCTGAAAATCAAACCCCCCAAACCGATCTGCTGAATATTGCTAAAACATTTTGGCCACTCACTTTTCATAATCTGCGAGCGTTCTGGTTCAATTGCCATTGAAAAAATATCTTACATAACAGCGTTTTTCGTCTGTAGATAGTGATAGTATCGGGATATTCTTGTGCAAGCAAAATAAATTTGCGAGAGCGTTTTAACGTTTGTGTTAAAACGTTTTGCCTCGTCTAGCATTTAAAATATCGACGCACTGACGGTGTACACAGTGTGATACCCAACTTCAGATCACCGAGAAACAGTGCGTTCGTATTGTTCATGGCGATATTTTTACACTTATTAAAAACCTTTATCTGTATAATATGAAATAGAAATAAATTGTGTAACGCTGGCGTTCACATAAACTATTTCGTGTTAAGATTTGTTATGAGTGTCGTCCTTTATCTTAGCGAATTAAAATGCAATTACAAATTTTTCTGATTTATAACTACTAAAAGCGATTTCTCCGTAGAATTCATTTTTATAGGATCGTAATCATCATATTTAAGTAATATTTACAGATAAGTTATTATTTTGTTAGTGAAAGGTTAAATTTCATTTTAGTAGCAAATCAGGACCTTTGACATAGCGATAGGTAATAATAAAACAAAAACACTGTGTAGAGTTCGACCGCATAATATACAGTACAGTCACAAAATAGAGCTCTCTTTAATTTATGGTACAGTCGCCAACATATCGGTTATTTTTCACATCATATAAGATACATATGTTGACCATATTTATGTAAGAAATAAAACAGTATCAGATGTATAGCATTTAGAAAAATTAATCGAACTCTACACAAAATCTTTTTACTGAATGCAATAATAAGGCCCCAAATTTGTGCAATATTTTTATTTAAAGGTAAAATATATCTATTTATTTTTACACAAGCTTCAACAGCTTCCGTTTGTTTTATAACGGCTGCACTATAAAAGCAATTATTTATAAGTTATCTTACATTCCTTTAATTAAATTATAAAACTTATTTAAGTGTGCTTGTTAAGCCGTTCGTTGTTTGTTTAATTTATTTTTTATTTTATTTGTTGCGTCTAATATATTCTAGTCTGCTCCAGTCATAGCGAATCGTTCTAGTCTACAAATTGTATAAATATGAAATGAAATAAGAAACGAGGTGTGATTGATTTATACACTTCATATAATAAACTTTTGTATAAATAATATTCACGAATAGATAAATTATTGTAATTATAATCTACTGTAAATTATTTGACAGTAAGAACTATATTTCTGCGCAGGGTTACCAATTACCGTATAGCTAATTAGATACAATTATCCGATTTGGAGGATCATTATCATTAGGCAACTTTACGAGACAAAACTTTTCCGGCAAAAAAAATCTTATAGTGAAAAATAAAATATTGTCGCGAACGCGAAGCGCTCCAGCTCTTCAATGATCCTTTGAGTCGAATTTTTAAAATGTTATATGTTTCAACTCAGCTGTATAAACGCTTTTTAGCTCTTTCCACTTAGCGCCAAGTATTGGCATTACTCCGTAATTCCAAAGGATTCGCGTTAAATAATTTTAAATTATATTCATGGCTAGTCATTAACGTAGGTGTCATAGAAGAGTACAAAGTGAGAGGTGTTAGCTCGCAAGTATATTTCAAGTGTATACAAAAGACAAGAAATTATTAGTGAGTGTTTTGTATCTGTTTTATTTCAAATGTTGTGTTGAGTTCATATTTTATGTTAAGTAATTTATTTTATTACCACCAAAAAGGTAATTGTGTTCTGTACCTTATAAATAGATGAAATAAAGCACAATTTTGTTATTAAGTACAATAATTTGTGATTGTAAATAAGTGGTATGACTGTGTGAATATTGCAATCATTAAAGTATTTACGTAAGGAGTGAGTTTATTTTGAACAACCCTAAAATTTAGAAGCTACACTATTTTGTAGCTTTTGCACAACTTAGAAAACAAGCTGAATGGTTGCGTCCATTTACAAAATTAACATTTTAAAGCTAGAATATCTGCTTACTTTACAGTTTGGAAAGCAAATTACCTTCGCTGCGGGTTTTTACGATGATTATGATGATTCAAAATATTTACGTATTCCGATGTTTTTTTTTTTTCAATCCTAAAGGACGAAGTAATTTCTTTATAGACGAAACTGAAGTGAAAAGCGAACATACAGACATACAGTCCACCTGAACCGAAGAGAGAACCGATTGATGGTCCACTCAACTTAAAGTAATTGCTATAGAAAGCCATGTATGTATAGCATTATTGTCCTCTGGACCGAATTTCGGTCAAGGCGGCCATTCTCCCGTCTCAACGGAGCCTAGCCATGCATGTGGTCTTCCCTCACTCTCATAATCCTATGGGAAAGTAAACCGACAGACACGTTCCGGAGAGAAATCAGGTGAGGGTACGGCCTTACGCGCTTTGTAAGGGTGGAACACCACCAACATCCTGACTCCGGCTTGCTACTGAGAATTTCTTGATAGAAAAACAATTACTGAATTTGGTCCGACCCGGGATTCGAAACCGGGACCGGGATCAGCAACCTTGTTAACGCCCCTAGATCAACTAGGCAATCTTAGCGTTATTTCAGTTTTACTTGTTTTATTGTTAAAACTGCCAAAGTAATTTTAAAGAATTTTTGACATAAACCGCAAAAGTGGAAACCTTTTTGAACACGGTAAGGCTTTAGTTAGTCGTGCTATGTGATTGTGTAACTCTTGTTGGCAATGAGGGTATCGACGACTTTTTTTGCCACCAGGGCGGAGCCAATTTCGAATATGGCAGATTTCATAGCAGATTATTTATTAGATAGTAAAATGTAGTGAAAATGTTTGTTACTGCAATGTTAGTTGTATTTTATAGTATCTTATTAGATTAGAAAAGAAAAACCGAACTACGGACATATTGACAAAATTAAAAAGAGTTAAAAATGTGCAAAAGAATTAGAGAGCAAAACACTAAAGAATTGTTTTGTGTATTAATATATACTTAATAATTTATACTCTAATAATATATACAATGCGTAACAAAAAAGATGGAGTGTAGAAGTAAGGAGTACAGATTGTGTATTAAAGTGTCCATAAAAACCATTAAATAAGGGTGGCGCCACTACAGCTACGGGGTAAATTTTAAAGAACGCACCGAAAAATATTAGTGGGATAGACCACTTTTTCGAAGTTATATTTACTAAATAAAATTATTTTATATTTTAGAGCTACTAAGCAGTATAGCAGCATACTTAAACCGTCGACAATTGCTAAGTTCATTTCATCCCAGTAGCTACTCCAGCGGGTGGAGAGTGGCTGTTTTTACTTAAGATGGCTTACTTACATATTACTCTGGTGTTATTAGGCCGGCCACATACATACGGAATTCCGATTCGGGATCCGAACGCAGTGAGTCCATATAAAATCAATGACCCGTCACACACATACAGTAGTTTTCCGTACAGAATTTTGTGGGCAAACCGGGATTCCGTATGTGTGTGGCCACAGATAAATCTGTGTGTTTCGTTCCGAAATTCCGAAACGGAATTCCGTATGTATGTGGTGAGCTTTAGACCTCATTTTTGCCGGCGGGCATCACTTCGCAACTACATAATGTGTTTTCTTAATGAATACCTAAGATTTGGCAAGTACAAGTTTTTTGGTAAACCAACTTCAGGCAAAATTAAATTTAAAATTTCATATCGTCATGATATCAACAAGTAATAATAACAATGACCTAGTAACAATCGGGGTTGCTTTAGTAACCTGGGGAACGAGGAAGGAGGTGAGACTTCCCCTGCACTCCGTTACTGCCATTTTCAGTATTTTAGAAAATTTCATTATTATTAGTTTTAGAACCTAGTGATAGGGCACTAAGATATGACTTAAAGTTCTTCTTCTGGCGCTCCACTCTGCGCACTTCTGCGCAGCTCGTTCGGCAGTGCTATTATGTAAAATTGCTCACTGATTGCTATCATATTTCTTAAAAAGTCATACGTCATATGACTGGAGCAAACTTCGCTTGTTACGCTAACGGCCACACTACCGTGACATGGCAATAATTATGGCCATAATTGCAACAACACCTAGGTGTTGCCACGATTTATGACCATAATTTTACAATGCCAATCAATATGGCAAATGGCGGTAGACAATAGCTCCGGCAGCGGTCTTTTTTCGCACATCAAAGAAGATTACCGCAGTAATTAAGGTGTTTGTCCAGTGTGCACTGTGCAACATGAGCTCAACGGCGACGCACGTATCGACCGATTGAAAGTCTAACATTGTACGGCTTCTGTGCATTTTTATCATCCACCATCTTTATAGTCTTGCTTCAGCTTTGTAAAAATTTAAGATTCATGTACACATAATTGGCACTCATAAAACACAACACAGCTGCAGCTTCAATGTCCATCTTGAAAAATGATATTAACCGCCTAATTTATTCACATATCTAGGTAAATTCTTGTGTAACCACACCACTTAACGCTGTTATTTAAACGGTAATCTAATGCCATAATTATTGCGTAAACGAGCGGTAGACGGTAAGGTAGTGTGGCCGTAGCATTACAAAGATTGGTGTTAAAGTCTTTATATATCAGGGGCCATTCATTACTTACGTACCTAAGGATGATTTTGGCGATTTTTGACTCCCCCTTCTTTCTCCCATATAACATGATTTCACGACCCCGCCTCCTCCCTGTTCTTACGTAAGATTCTATCTAGTTTTTCAGAATAATAAAACGTTAGAAAAGGATTAATTACACTCACTGTTTGAGGTAAATCATAGATTTTAATTTAACAGATGATTTAGGTTATACTAATGCTATCAGATATAGATTAGCATTATGTTATTATTAGACAACTAGTTGAGATAATATCTAGTCTTTGGTGTAAGTATCATTATATAAAAGTGCCTACGTTTTGAATCA